GAGTTCCACAAGCTTACAACGTCTTTTCTGAGGAGGTTGCTTTTTCCTGGTCCTGAAACTACTTTAAAAAAAGAGGGGGAAACACCCATTGGGATTAGACCCAGGAGGAGTCCAGCAAACTGTGTCTTGTGGCTGGCTCGCCACCTGTCTTCCAGAAGCCTGGAAACCAAACAGGATTCCCCAGAAACTTAGGTAAGAATGAAGACCAAACCTGAGATGGATTAACACCCTCAAGGAAGCGACGGCCCTGAGCTTGCAAGATTAATCAGAGGACTTTGGAGACCCCTCTGATAGGCATGAATCGGGAGGGAGCGACATAACCCCAAGAACGTATGTACCAGAAGCACCCTGTTCTAGTAACAGAGATAATATATGTAGAGACAGTCATTTGTAGGCATGAATCTGGCTTTAAAGCCAAAGCTGCCTAGTGAGGATAAGTTCAAAGTTTAACTGCGCAGTTACTCCCGTCATTGGATGGCTCCAAAAAGCTAGCATTACAAAAAGCTAGCATTGTGGTGGGCTGAGTTTAGCCGTGGCAGGCGGGAGATGGCCACCGAGGGCCCACGAGCCGCTTTTTAACTGTGGCTCAGCTCCGTCCGGGCCACTCAGAAGGTGTGCATCTTGCATCTCCTTCCTCCGCGGTGCTGCTTTCGCGCGATGCTTCCTAGCTGAAGACCGCAAGGGAAGACCAATCTCTCTCGTTAATTTATATTTTAAAAGAATCCCCAATTTCCGAGTCCCGCTGCCGTCTGGGGCCGGGGCTGTCGGTGGGGCGGGAGGAAACGGTCCCGTGATTATATCGAGGGTATTAACACAAAGGAAGGGAAAAGGCAGGAGTTTGCTAGGCCGTTGAGAGGGGGATAAGATGAGGTTTAAGGATCTCGGCAGCGAGATGGGGAATATTAAGCGTGGGACGAGGGAAGCGTCCCTTGAATACTCTCTGGGGATTAGGGGATGTAGCGGCGAGCGGAAGAGAAGAATCCCCTTTAATGATGCCGAGAATCCGTCCCTCATCAAGGGATTGCGCCGAGGAGGAGATGGAGTTTGGAGGAATGAAATGACCCCACGCTCGAGGACTTTTCTCTCCCATGCCTCCGTTTCCCGTCTAATCCCAGCCGGGCTTTGCAAATATTGAGCTACGGAGCAGAAGCAAGAAGGTTGGAGGGTTGGGAACTTCTCCTCTTAAGAGGACGGATCTTCACCTGCTTCGGAGTTTGGCGGAATGGCACCCTCTCTCTCCCCCCCCCTCCAGGCTCTGTTGCACGAGGTCCAGCCCACCTGGTTTCCCAACCTCACCTTTTAGGATAACCTACCAAGGCATACCTTCTCCATCCTGAGGGTTGAGATGGGCGTGGGTGGATGGTGCCGCCTCTGCCAGCCCTTTCTGTTTACCCCATTGGTGTCCAGATCTTAAACTGAAGATGCATCTGGTGTGGTGTCTTGCCTTGTCCAGAACAGACACCTCTTGCATTAAAGTCTCCGTCCATGTATACAGAACTTTCCTTGCTTTTCTGAGCCCAGATGACCTGGCTTGGTGGCCTCCCATCCCAAGTTAAACCAGGACTCGGGAGAATCAAGGCTGAGCCCTCCTCTGATCTAACAATCTCACCGTCTGACCTTAGATCAGCCCCTCCCTCTCCTTCCAGCCAACCAACCGCACAGGGTTGTTGTTCCGAGGACAGAGAGGAACCAAAAGTCCTGTTAGGCTGCTTTGAGGATATTGGGAGGAAGTTAGGACAGAACGATGATGGTGTGTCATCAATTCTGAGTGATGGCCACCCTTTTTCATGGTTTTCCAGGCAGAGAATACTCAGAAGTGGTTTCCCTCTTTCGTTTTTCTGGGGGCACCTAGATTAGCAACTAATTAAATCAAGGAAAACTCAGAATGACCTCTTTCTAGCCCTCTACAGCCATCGCTTTGGTCAGACCTTACGTGGACAACCTTGTCCATCACTTGAGAAGGAGATCAACCGTCATGCAGCTGTCTAGAAGAGATTGATGTAACCGTCCTGGAAACTGGGTTCTAGGAGGATCGGTCGAGAGAGAGCAAAATATATTTAACCGGGAGAGGAGAAGGCCAAAAGGTGACATCAGAACCATCTTCCATTCTCTGAAGGGCTGTCGCAAAGAGGATGTATCAAATCCCTCCCATGGATCGGTCATGGACCAGTCAACTCAAAGGATAAGAAAGGTGATTTTTGACTCAACATTAAGAGGAACTTCCTGGCGCTGGACAGTTGTGGATATTCACATTCAGCAGCTGGCCAATTCTCCTTCTGTGGAGGGTTTAAGAACTATATTTGGATGGCCACTTGTGTCGGCTGGGGGGTTGGTCTAGATGACCTTTTGGGCTCCTTTCAACTCTACCATTCTCTGAATCCAGGAACCGGTGGCCCCAAGGCTAGGGGAAGATCAGCTTTGAATGGAAAAGGGTCCAAATGTCATCATAACAAGCTCTTCCTGCTGTCCAGCCGAGAGCCACCTGCTCCTGAGACTTGGTGGGCTTCCCCTGTGCCAACCTTCCCTCCCCTGCTTCCCCCATCCCACCCCCCACCTCCAGTCCTAAAAATAAAGCTATCGATGGCCGAGATTGGTTCTCCTAATTGGGCTCGGCGTTCCAAAGCCGCCTGCGTTTATCGTAAAGGCCGCACATTTCTCGGCTTGAGTTTCCACGGCCAGAGGCCCTGAGGGCCGGCTCAGAAACGGAGAGAATTAATTACATTTTCTCTCTCTTTTTTTTTTTAAAGGAAAAACCTCCTCTTCTTTCAAAGTATGTGAGAAAGTGTGATGAAATCCCAGAGGGGAGGAAGCAGCAGCACTTAGAGAGGGAAGGGCGGCGGGAGGGGGGAGCAGAGAAAGCGTCAGGAGAGAGAGAGGCCGACCCCGAAAAAGAGAGAGACTCTCTGTCTCTCTGTCTCTCTGTCTCTCTGTCTCTCTCTCTCTCTCTCTCTGTTTTTTAAGGCCATCTTTTTCAGGTCTACGGAGCAAGCTAGGAACTGTTGGAGAGCTTTGGGGTTGAAATCTCTGATTGTGGAGCCCGAGGTGGGGAGTTCGAATCCCCCCACTGGGCCTCCTCGAGAGGGACTGGACTGGATGATCTATCAGGTCCCTTCCAGCTCTGTGGTTCTAAGATGAAGATGATGATTTGGTTCATCCTCAGAGAGAGAGAGAGAGAGAGAGAGAGAGAACCTGATTTCATGAATCTTGCAAATGAGAAAACGCAGGCTGTTTAAAGACCAGGCTCCATTCGCACACCCCAGGGCCCCAACCTGAAAGAGGGAACCTAAACTGGTTTCAAAGGAGTCCCTTCTGCCTTCACTGGTCCATCGAGAGAGTATGAATGGGGCCTCTCCCCCCCCCAGGTCCTCTTTCTGCAGGGCCCTGCCCTGTGGATTCCCCGGATGCCCTTGATGCCAGGGCAGGGGGGGGTGGAATGGGAAACCCAAGGAAGATATGGGCTTTATTTATTGGTTTATTTTAATCTGGAATTCTGGGTGCTTGTTATATCTGTCACAGGGTCTGGCTGTAGGTAGGAGCCATGAGAAGTCCCAAGTTAGCTTCCAGGGTCAGGAGCAGTTTATCTCCAAATCTCAGCTGTGGCCATTTTTTTTAAAAAAATATCCTTCACTCTTTTTTTGGGTTATTGCACCCAAAACCACAAGGTCCACAAAGCGAAGGGCTTGCCCAAGAGAACTCTCTCCCCTACACCCTCTGGCCTTGGCCTCCCAAACCTCACTGAGCGAGACCGTTATCTTCTCCTGTTCTCTTCCATCCGAGGCCTAAAGGGAGGATTTGACCAGGAGCAATTGATAAGAAGTCTGGAGGGTGGGAGGGGGAGAAGAAGGACCGCCGCCAATCATTGTGATTGACAGGACGACCCGATTTCCTGCCGGATTTAAAGAAAAACGGGAAAGAAACCTGTCCAATGCAGACAGGCTATTGATTTTGCATTAGCGATGGTGATGCTCCATGAAGTCATAAATTATAGGATAGCAAGGTCAAACATCAGCAATACAGGATGGGAAGTAATCCTCTCTTTTTGGCCTCCAAAAGTTGAGGTCTTCAGGGTGGTGTGTTTTGTTTAAAAAGGATGGACTGAGCCTGTTAAAAACTGGATTGTAAGAGATAGAGGGGCATCAGCTTGGAGCCCAATGCTTCATCTTTCAATATTCCGGATTGGTACAGATGATTCCAGATCGAGAGTCGGTCAAGGAAGCATCCGGAATGGCTCAGGAAGGCGTGTTGGAGCTATTGGGGTGATCCTTGATGGCTCTCCTTTAGCGTGACTTGAAGAATATGTGTGCAAGCCAAGCCTCTTGAGGAGGGCTAGCCGGCATGGCTCAATAGAACCTCCAGGAGCCAGCACAATCTACCTGTGCATCTCAGCTGAGGAGGCTGCTGGTTGGTGGGACCAGTAAATCCATTCTGGGTTTTAATCTGAACTTTATAAGAGTTCCCCCCAGGTGCTCCACTCCCCCCCCAAAAAAACCACATCAGCACCTTGGATAGCGCCTCTCAAGTTCAAAGGAAAACTGGAGTGGATGCAGCTCTTGCAGGAAACCACCCCCCACTGCTGCCTCGGCCTCCTCTGGCCACCAGCTGCTGGGAGAACCCTTCCTTCCTGGCGCATGAGCTTTCTGGGTAGCATCTGTCTGACTGTATGAATCAGGATTGAACCCTATGGACCATTAAGCACGTCTTACGTTCTTATAAATAAGAGCTAGAACAGTCGGCCACCTAGTCCCACCCGAGATCCGTAGGGCAGGAGTACCGCAGACCCTTGAGCATCGTGGTTGAAGAAGGAGATGGTGGAGGTGGGATAGATCCAGGCGAGGGTCTGGGATGAAGGGTCTGGAAACCAAACCCTCTGAGCTGGACGTGACCCATCGGGGAGGCTCCCTCTCGGTGACGATCATGGTGCTCACTGTTGGCCCTCTAGGGTTGCTCTGGTCCCAGCTCTCCTGACCCAAACACCCCCCTCTCCTTTTGCAACCCTACAGGTGATGAGCATCCTAAGCAACCCCAGCGGGGTCCCCCCGCAGCCCCAGGCCGACTTCTCCATCTCCCCACTCCACAGCAGCCTGGACACGGCCAACTCCATCTCGGCCAGCTGCAGCCAGCGCAGTGACTCCATCAAGTCCGTGGAGAGCCTCCCGACTTCGCAGTCTTACTGCCCGCCCACCTACACCACCACCGGCTACAGCGTGGACCCCGTGGCCGGCTACCAGTACGGACAGTACGGGCAAAGTGAGTATTGGATCGGGGCCGGGAGGGGGCGAGGCTGCCGTCGCTTTGGGGCACGTGGTGCGCCTGTGTGTGTGTGTGTGTTTTGCGGGAGGTGGGCTCAGCGCAGAGGTTCATGCAGAGAGGCAGCGAGGAACCTCCTCGGAAGAGGTGGCCACTTCCACTGATGGGCAAGAAGCACCCTACCGTTCAGCCGAGGGACCCCCCGGCCTCAGGTGGCAGTTCTAATGGGGGCGGCAGAGCTACCCGACGCTCTTATTTCAGATGCTGGAGAGGCAAGCCCCACCCCTGGAAAAATAAATAATCAGTTCATGAACAAATCTGAAGATGCTCTGAATTTTAGACCATTTTTGTCGTGATATCTCTCAGGACGAGCTAATCGGGAAGTTATTGGATGGATGAGTCGAAATACTAGTGTGTCCCTGAGCATATACAGAGGGCCTTTCCTTTCCACAACTGAGTCTCCCCTCCCGCAGACTGGCCAGCCTGCTTGCCTCTTGGACATAAAATAGTCAACAAACCTACGACTGAGGTTCCCCCTCAGTTGGGGAGGGTTTAGGACCATTTGGCCCTCTTTCCTCCCCCCCCAAAAAAGTGGGGAGAATCCCTCTGCCTTGAATCAAAAAAGCCCTTAAATTTTGCTCAAAATTGTGCAGGAAATGGGGTGGGGTGGCCTGTAAGGGGGGGAGCACGGAGGGGAGCCGATGGATCCCCGGGGCAAGGTCTTTCGGTCATTTCCACGGAGGGGGGAGGGCCAGGTTCCTCACACACACACACCCCAAGTTTACTGGGGTCAGGCAACCTGTGAGAAGATCCACCAGATGGGTTGCCTGCCTCCGTCCTGTTTGAAGGGGGCCCTCCCCTCCTCTGGTGCCCCCCCCTTTGGCCCGCGGCAAGGTCCTACGGTGACCTCTCTCTCTCTCTCTCTCTCTCTCTCTCTCTGGCCATGGCTTTTTACCTTCTCCACTTCTACGGTCAAATGAGAAACGTGTGTCGCCAGGGAGCGCTTGAAGGACCAGTGCGGGAAGCCCACTGTCCCCTCTCAATTTCTCTTGGGGGGGGGAAACACACACACACAATTTGATCTGTGACTTTCTGACCTTCCTCTCGCTTCCCGGGCCACACGTGCTATTGATAAAAATCTTAAATAAATTCCAATACCGTGCACTTCCAATAAAGAGACCCTCAGGCCCTGACGTTAGTCACACACCCCCTGTGCGAGGAGCGAGGGGACGAAGAGAAAGGCATAAATACGGAAAGGCAAGGATGTTGAGTGAGATATGGGGGGGTGTTGCAGGGGGAGAGATCCCACCCCTGAGTAAGGGGTGGTACCCTTGGCCTTCATTTCCTCCCCCCCCACACACACACACACACTTTTCCCCATTAAGGAATGATTTCTCCCGGTTCAAAACTGCAACCCAGCGAATAAACATTTATTATTAATCGAGTCGAACCGCTGCTCTCTGTTTCCTGAGCGATGCCCGAAGCGGGTCATAACCGCACAAGGTCTGATCACGCTTAATGCCCAAGGAGAATTCATTTCCCCCCAACGCGGTCGGCTCCTTCTCTCGTGTGTCCGGATCTCGGTTTGGTGCCCAAGACTCCCCTGGTCACCGACAGGCAAAAGAAATAGAGGACAGCTCCCGGCTGGCCGAATCTGGAGCCCAGGCTGAACCTGACACTCTGGAGCCTCTAAAGAGTCTCTCTCTTTCCCCCACGAGTCTGTCACGGCCACAGAGGGCCAGCCCATCAGAAGAAAATCCAGCTAGACACCCATGGTCCGCAACCCTTGGGTCCCCAGGGGTCCTTGGACTACAACTCCCAGAAGCCTTCACTGCAAGCAGTGCTGGCCAGGACTTCTGGGGACCCAAGGCTGGGAGACACTGGACTTGGGTACTGGTTTTTGTTGATGTGCTTTTCTTCAGATAGGACCAGGTTGTCTTGCTATTCCTCCAGAATAAAAGCCCATGTCATGTACTAACTAGTTAGAGAGAGGAGGAGGAGGAGGAGGGGGTGTCAAGAGACCTGGGCTGAAAATTTTGCCCCTCGGCCCTGAAACTCCATGATCGCTTTTGTCCAGCCCACCTCACCAATTAGTTCTGGGGATAGAAAAGGGGTAGAGAACTGTTTGCTCATTAGATAATCTGTGGGATAGGAAGGGAGAGAGAGAGAGAGAGAGAGAGAGAGACACCTAGACAGGGATGGATGAACAGATGGACAAGCAAAACAGATCTGCTTCGATGGTGAAGGGATGGTGATGTCTCAAACACTGGCCAGTCAGAACTGTGCACAGTCAGCTTCCCTTGCTGGGAACACCACCTAGGGAGGTGTTTGGTTGTTTTCAGTGGCCCATCTCAGAGAGGAAAACTATATTAAGACGGAAGCTCTTTCCTCCTGCAAAAATCTTATATCTTCCTTTATCCCAGATGCTGGGAGGTGGGGGCAGTCTAATAAATGGCCTTTTCAAGCTGTGGGGACAGCCAGACCAGTTGGCCACTAGTGGCCAGAAGTGACTTGAAAGAACCCGTCTCTATCTCTTGAGGCACGGAAGTCGCCCGAGCCAGCCCAGGATGGTCCACGGAGAAGCCGCCGTACTTTTCCTGTTCCGTGGCCATAGAGGAGGAAGGGGGAGTGAACAGAGAGAAGGGGTGCCAACTCGGAGCCACCCTGGCTGTTCCCAGAGGCCGGGGCCGTGCTAATGATGCCGGCGATGGAACGCCGAAGCGTGAAAAATTCCTAATGCATGTGACAAGTCTAATAAGAATTTTTGCCTGGAAGGGACCCCCCTTTGGGGCAGGCTGGCTGACAGCAGGCTGATGGCTGAAATTTGTTTACTCCTTGGCACCAACTGGCCCGTTCCTGCCAGCTTCCTTATTAATCTAATTTGAGACATTAGAATTGGGGGTGGGGGAGAGCTTGACTGAAGCTCATCTAATAGGGATTGTCACCATCCAGCAACTAGGTGACCTGGCCATCTATCTATCTATCTATCTATCTATCTATCTATCTATCTATCTATCTATCTATCTATCTATCTATCTATCTATCTATCTATCTATCTATCTATCTATCTATCTATCTGAGATTATAAAGTTACTTTTAGAAGTAACTTTCTTCCCATTGCTGGTCTGAAATGTCATCCTCCCCCCTCTCCTTGTTCCAGTGTTTAAGAAGTATCTCTCAGGATAGATAGCTGAGGATCAAAATATCCCCTCCCCAAAATTTAGAGGTTTGGGGGGTAAAGTGTTTTCTCTCTCTCTCTTTCTCTCTCTCTCTCTCTCTCTCACACACACACACACACACACACAGAGAGAGAGAGAGTCAAAGTCTAAGGGCTGCACCTGGCTCATTGTGTTGACTGTTTGTTCCTCTAAGAATGATAAGAGAATGGAATAAAACTTGGGGAACACTTATCAGCCTATCCGGAAGGCTCAATGCACTTGGAAAATAATGTTTAAAAGTAACTAGAAAAAAACATTATTTGTTTGTGCTCATAAAGTAACATCTTCTCTTGGCCCCACAACTATGTAGCTTGTTACTTCCTGGCACATGACACAGGCCTACCGATGCAGAGATAAACCAGAAAAGTACTTATCATCACAGTTCCTAATTTTTTAAAAAAATAACTCTTTACTTTCAAAAGTAAAACTGGACACCTTTTAGTTTTGTTTTGTTTTTGAAAAATCAGAAAGCTAAAGGATGATTCATACCTTCTCCTGTGTTGTTTTTCCTCCTTCTCTTGCTTTCATAAAGCTGCCGTTGACTATTTGACCAAGAATGTCAGTCTGTCCACACAGCGCAGGATGAAGCTCGGGGAACATTCGGCTGTGCTGGGCCTGCTACCTGTCGAGACGGGCCAAGCTTACTGACAGGTTCACCCACATGACGTCTCTTCCACCGACAGTCTGCCGTCAATGAGACACAAGATTAACAGGAAAAGAAAGAAAAGAATCCCACCGCTGCCACCAGTTCGCAAAGGACCAACCCCCATGCTTCATGCTTCTCCTCCTGGAACTCACGACAACGGACTTTTGCAATCCTGCTTCCCCTGCAGTGGCAGCCAGGGTGGAGTGGAAGGAGACTGAAGAACTGGCCATCTCTCCAAATTCTTATCCACATATAACGTCATCAATCGCTTCAAGGACCAGAGATGATGAGCTTGGTCAAATGAGATTTCCAGTGTTCCCGCTCTCCTTGACCAGCTCAACACAACCAACGTGGATGGACCTTCCCCTTGATGTCACATGGGGCTTAGTCATTGTGGATTCTGTCTTCTTCGTAATAATATAGATATAGGTTTAGATATATTCTGTTTGTCCACCTACCTGACCCCTGGCCCCCACTCACCAGCCCCGTTTTTCTTAATTGTACTATGACCTACATTTGCCTGAGAAGGTAAAGTCTGGGTTGATTGATGTGTTGATTTTGGGACCAAGTGGGACGTGTTTGGACCAAAAACGAAGAAGGAATGGCTGAGAAAAGGCAATGTGAACCATGAATGTTGGGTTGATCTGTTCCAGCACTAGGTCAATGGATGTGAGGGGAGAAGGGGGAAGAGATCAGGTGTTTGTAAGTTTTTATGGAGTAGGGACCACAAGGAGCTCAGTCATATGGGAATGGTGTTTGAGAAAGCAGGAGGTTTGGTTCGATGGAACGCCACGCAGCATTCCCTAGAAGGACAAGTGCTCCATAGGGACCAGCTAAAAATGAGTTAACATTCTTCCATGCAGATAGTCATGCAACAGCTTGGTGGAAGATGGGGTTTGCCACAAGGGATGGAACAGCTTGGATCTTCATGGGGTTGGACACGATTGCAAAGGTCATCCAAAGGGGGATGGGTGTGTGGCATGGCATAATGGCACAAGGCATAATGGCACAAGGCTCAGTCCGTCACCATGGCAGCTTCTACAACCAGCCTGCAAAGGTCATCCAAAGGGGGGATGGGAGCGTGGCACAAGGCATAATGGCATGGCTCAATCCGTCACCATGGCAGCTTCTACAACCAGCCACTTTCTGGATGGCTTGAAGTGGCACCTGTCTTTCAGCCCCACAGTTGCCAAGGAGTCCACCTAAGTAAGAAGTCACACCCCAAAATAAGAGGGGTGCCTTTGCTTCATGCACAATTCTATAGGAAAAAAAAGAAGATATCCAGGAACGGGAGGGGTCAATATGGGATGACCCCCCCATCCTAGCCAGCATTCCAGAAGTGGGTAGATTCTCCTCCCATGACCCCAAATCAGTGGTCCTACCAACCTGCTAACCCATCACTCTTGGGAAAGGAGCCGTAGTCCCTTCGAGAGACCATCGGGTTCACTTCCTATTATCTCTGGCGAAGGCGCCCAACAGAGAAGACCACACCCGTGCAACCACGGAGCTCAAGCGAGGAGGACTTTAATGGTTGCTCTCCTCGATTCATCATCTACCCCCACCACCTTGAATGTTCCACTTTTAAAACACTCGCTGAAGTCTGTATATATAGATCACACCCTTTTAAAAATGTTCTTAAGAAAGGTTTGTGGCAAAAAAAGGACCCATACATTCCATGTTCATTGACTCCTGCCTTGAGCAGAGGGGGGGGGTTGGACTCGATGGCCTTAGAGGCCCCCTCCAACTCTGTTCTTCTCTGATCATTCCTATGACGAGCCGTCAGATCCCATGCGGTTAATTCTGAATTCCATGCGCTTTAGATGCACCGCCAGGTTTTCCTCCTCCACCACTTCCTCTGTCAATTTCCAAGGAGGTGTTTTAGAGATCTCTCACTCAACAGAAACCCGTCTCCCAGTCCAGACCTTCCGCTGGGATGAATTGGGGGAATCTGGGATTTCCCATAAGAGAGAATTTGATGCGCAGTGTACGCACAACTTGGGAGCCGTGGCTGGACGGAGGTGATGAGATGGTTGCTCTTGTTATTGTGTTTAGGGGAAACGAGGAGTTCCTTTCTGTTCTCCCCCCGCCCCCGGGCATAATTCCGATATGATTTTATGTCTTTTTGTGTATTGTTTAACTCCCCCACATCCGGACGGGTCCTGCACTCCTGGTGGGCAGAGGGAGGGGGAAAAGACACACCCCTACCGCTCAGAGATTTTCGTTATTGTATTTAATGTTTCTAACTTGGCAACCTTAACCACTTCATATACCCAAACCTGGAGTAATATTATCTGTAGAACATACCTTTAATCCTAGTAACCGCACATATGTTGCTTCTGTGTTTGAGTCATAGCTTATTTCGCTCCATATGTACATGTGCGTGAGTGCATGGGTGTACAAGGGAGGGCAAATGAGTGAGGGTGTGTGTGTGAGAGAAAGGGTGTGTGTGCGTGGGTGGGTGCGAGAGAGAGAGAGAGAGAGAGAATATGTGTTCATGTGTGTATGTAGATATATATAAATATATATATAATCACCCCATAATTTATTCAGCTATATGGAGTCGTAGAGTAGAAAAACCAAACTGGGTATTTTGCTTTAAGTACCTCCGCTGCCTGTAGGTGTCTCTCTCTCTGTAACTCAGGCGTTAACTGTTATACATTAAAAGGAAGAAAAAAAGATTCAAATTCTACTTTCGGAGTCTTTCTTTCCTTCCTCGTCACCTTTTCATTCAGCTGACGGTCCAGGGCGTCGAAGAGCCTGTTTTCACCTTTATTTTGCCCCAAAGCAGCCCCACCCTCCAAAGCCTTGCCCGCCTACCCCATGTGTGGCATCGCAGGGGCTCCTCCATGTCTGTGGGGCATGCCCAGCATTCGACCCCCACCCCTTGGCCGGAGAGTTTTGCTGTGAAATTTTACATGCTTGGGAGGCACTGGTTGAAAGGCCTCTCGTGGCTCTGTGGAAAGTCAAACCAAAAGCCCCCCCCCAAGTGCTGATACAATGCTCTAACCACTACAGCACACTGCTCCCCTTTTCATTGAAGGCTGTGGGGGGGTGACTTCTATCTCTTACGGTGGTAATGGAAGTGGGAAGGCTGCACGCTCAGAAATCTACATGCCTTGGTACAAAACAACGGTACGTATTAAGGACACACCCTCTCAGTCTCACTATAAATGATAACTAAAGATAGTTATCCAAAACCAGAACAGAGCCAGAAGTTTGTGTTTTTTTAATTTATTGTTTGTTTTTACTCCGCCAGTCTCCTGGGAAACAACCCGAGGCAACTTACAATATGAAAGACAATACTGAATGTTGAAAACAATGAGTACACAACAGTGGTGAACATCATTAAAAGGCAATATTTTAAGCTCCAAACAGTGAAGGAAAACATCATTAACAGGCAATATTATCAATAAGTATACAAATAGGATGTAACTTATTTATGCCTTTGCAACCACAATAGTAATAATGATACTTACGAGACACTGGTTCTCTGCGATGTGCTCTCAAACCTAAGTGGGTCTCGCTTCTACGCTCAAACTGGAAGCACAATCCACACCATTGTAAAGCTGACTTTGGAAGGGTGTAAACGCCATGTGACCCCCGCACCAACACCCTGGACCCCTTCTTGACCCGCTTGGCTGGACTTTTGCCTGCTCCCTCATTCCAGTCCCAGTTTCTCCTTCTAAAGATTCGGGGGGGGGGGCTTCCAACCCTGCAGGATTGCCAGGTCAGGGGTCCCCATGAGAACCACCACCGGGAGAGAAGTGAGTGGGCTCTTGGGACGTGGGAGAGACAAGGCAGACAAGGGCTGGGAGGGGTAGAGTCCCCCACCGCCACTAAGACTTCACACCACTGGTGGCAGGACGTCTGCAGGAAGACATCTCCTGTGCTGCGGAGCTAGTGCTTTGATTGAGAAGGTGCTATTGGCCCAGTGCTGGTACATCAACAACTTGTATGCGACAACTCAAGCCCATTATTCCATGGGCCTTTCCACACCCCCTTTCTGGGGAGACCTGCTCACCAACTGACTGGAAAATGAACAAGAGGTTGACCTGCTTCTGTTCCATGAATGGCCTGTTTTGAGGCTCCTCAATTCATTTCACCATAGTGGCCCACAAACATTTACCTATGAAAAGACCACACCATGCACAGGAGGTGAAACCTGAGGAAAAATTGGCAACCCACTTCCCTAATCCTGCCAGCCTTAACCACTTTGCAATCTGCTTTTCTTAAAATCTGGTTGCCTTTGATTTTATACAACCAAGCTCTTCCGGAGCCATTGACGAGGCTGTTCAAGATGGCTGCCCCGCACACTCTTTTTCCATCCTCCTTTCCTTCACTCTCTCTCTCTTTCTCTCTCTTTTTCCCTTTCTCCTCTTCTCCTTTTACAGCCTCCCCCCCACCCAAAAAAAAGTTTTTTTCGCCGGTCTGATTTCTGGTGTAATAATCTCTCCGATTAGCCTCGTAACTCCAGCTTTATAAGAAAAAGGAGGACATAATGGAAAAATAATTAAAAAATAAAAGACTGTGGAATAAAAAAAATAATCATTGGGAGGCGAGGGAGGGGATACACAGAGGCAGATCAGCGGAGCTGGTAGATAACCAACAGATGTGATTTTGCAGATAAGCGGAGTAATTTAGATTAGATAAATCAGAAGGCATTACTGAAGTGCTCGGAGCTTCTTTCTATCAGTCAGATCCATTCCCTCCCCCCTCTTTTCTCCCCCCCCAAATTTTATCTTGCAAGTTGAGAGGTGGTGGAAGAGGGCCGAGGGCCCAGCACACGAGACAGTTGGGAGGGGGGGAAGCATCATCTTTCGGCCATCATCTTTTCTTTTTAGGATGCCTGTGTCCATGTGCTTTTTTTTTTTTTTACCCCCAGAAGGTGGGATAATGTAAGAGCTGAACAGACCGACAGAAGCCGGGACTGGTTTATTTTCGGGTTGTCTTTTAGTTTTCTTTCTGTTTTTTTTTTAGTGACACACACACACACACACACTGAGAGAGAGAGAGAAAGAAGGAGAAGGAGAGAAAAAAAAAACCCCAAATATTTGAAAATGTATTTCATGGCAATTATGTCATATTTCATGGGCTGATGCCGCTCCTGAAAGAAAGAGTGAATGCCTTAATTTGTATAGAAAATGTAATCATTTGTTCATTTCAAGGTGAAAATTGCATTTTTTAATTTAAATTGTATCCTGCATGATAGTCTATTATCTAGTAAAATTGTCTCCTTGTCTGGGTGCCTTATATGCAGCGGGAACGGCATGTTGGAAATCCAGTTATATTCATAAAAGCTTTGTGGACATTTGGGGAGGGGTTAAAACGCCGAGGGCTTTTTTTCCCCCCCTTCTGGGTTTTTGTTTACCTTTTCTTTCTTTCTTTCTTTCTTTCTGTCTCTCTCCCCTCTTCTGTCTGGTCATTTCCACCCCCTTCTCTACTCCTTTTCTCCGCCTCTTCTTCTGGTTATGCCATGGTTGAAGTATACTCATGTCTGCTAATATAAGTAATTAGTCGGGATGCTTCTCAAGATGATCAGATCCTGAAACATGGTGTGGGTGGGGGGTGGCGTAAACATCTCCTTCTCTCCCCCCACACTCCTAGTAAAGTCTTATTACAAGGAGGAAAACCAATGGGTCTGGTTACACCCAAAGCAGCACAGGAAGTCCAAAAGGATCAATGCGGACAAACCCCCTGGTATCAATATCTGGCCAACTGACCATGAAAAACCAGCCTTTTCTGCTCTTCTGCCTTTTTAACAGTCACTCGATCCACACAGATCAGTGTTTCCAGGCTAGAAGCCTGAGCACCCTCTCCTAAAACACATCAAGGTATCAAAACAGGCTCAGGAGCAGCAGTAGAGGAAAACCATGGCAACCTTAGGGTATGGGACTGAATATTTTGTATATCCCCCTTCTAGGGGAGGGTTTGATCCACGTAGTTTGTTTGGACGGCTTCTAAGGATCATGTCCCAGGGTGGAACGGTATTCTTTTACGAGATGCAGTGAAACTAATTATTTTATAACATCCGGCGTAACTATGCCGTATATGTAAACACTAGTTATCAATAAAATATAAAATATACTTTATACAAACAGGGTATATCTAAAGGCTGGTAAATAAATAAATATGCTATAAAGAGCAACAAAGGGCAAGGAAGGAGAATCCTTTATTTAAATCCCATATCTGAAAGAAGCAAATAAAATAAACATCAAAACAGCATCCTCATTTAGGAACAGCGGTTGGGGGTTCGATTCCCCATTGGGCCTCCTTCAAAGGGTCTGGGTTCAAAAACCTATAAGGTCTCTTCCCGCTCTGGCATTCTAAGATCTTTGTTATTATCATCCTCATACTGGTTAAGGTAAACCATTTTCAAGAATGGGTTTACCTGGAGTGGAAGACAGAATGATGTAATTGACCAAAACTGGACTCTCTGTCGGTACCATCCCATTCTGCAGGATCTTTCCACCGAAATCCGGGTGGGGGTTTGTGGTTTCAGGGGAGGGCAGAGTCTTATGATGTCACAGAGGTGGGGCAAGCAGGATTTGGGCAGGCAGCAGGAGGAGAGTGGCTCTCATCCGGACTGAGCGTGTGAGACCTGGGGCCAGCCTAGAAGGGATCGGGGTCCAAGCCACTCGGTTTGAAAGCCATTTCATACTCAAAAATGTGGGGAGATGACCCCAGAAAAGCAGATTTGAGCTAAACATTAGGAGAAACCTCTTAATGCTAAAAGACCACCCACAATGGAAGGGCCAGTCTCCTTTACTGGAATGTTTAAGTACCAGCTATAATTCAGATTTTTTAGACCGAGAACCCCTCAGGTCCCTTTTGATTCTGATTTTTGTAGCAGATCGCTGAGTCCAGGTACTCCCTTCCATGTGGGACACAGCCGCCACACCAAAGAAACCCGAATAATCCAGATGTGGAAAACCACAGACGCGCCCCCCCAATGTGTAGAGGCAACTATTTTTATTTTATTTATTCATTTTGCAAAATGAAATTTACGAATGCCGCACGCTCCTACATGGACGGACCACTTCTAATTGGAATTACTTCTCCAAATCAATCAACAGAAACCGCTCAAAAGCAACCGACGCGCCGGCGATCTTGCACCATCTTGGATAAACCACCCCCACCCCTGGTTAGATTATTTTTCTTCATAAGATAACACGCTCTGCCTCCTGACATGGGAAAGATTGTTTATTGGATAAGTAATTTCAATTTTCATCAATGTTTTGGAAGCTGTCTGCTTATGTACGATAGCGCCAAGCCTGAGAATTTTTAATTTTTCCTCCCCCAAAAGGGTTGCGTATACAGCAGAATTTGTTTTTTTTTTTATTTTAATTTTGAGGAGCCTGCCTATTTAGGATGAGGCGTTAGTCTGCCTCCAGGGAAGAGTGCACGCTCAGATGTCAATCCTCAAACATTTCCAGAAATGGCTAGGAACAATACGGCTGTGCCAGGATGCTGGGATTTGTAGTTTTATGGGGTTTTGAGAATTCCCTGGAAGTGCAGTAAAACTTTCTAGCTGGGAATCCAGGCTACAAACCCCAGGGTCCTATAAGGTGGAGCGTTGCTCTTTAAAGCGATATGAAACTGACATAACCGAGCAGTGTTGACGTGGTCTCTGTCCATGGTGCTGTTTCAAGCACCCCGTGGATGTCACGGGGGG